TATTTTGTACTCTTGGTCTCATTTTTCATAACACTATTAATGGATGGTAATGGATGCAGATGCTATAGCAGACAGTGTACAGAATTCTGTGGGAAGAGAGAGACAGAGGCCACTCTTCTGAGAGAGCCAGAAAAGGCTTTGGAAATGAGGCAATTTATCCAAGCTTTTAATCACTGCAGAATGTACCTGATTGTCTGTGAGCTTGAGGTTTTTCTGTGAATTCTGACTTCCCGATCACTTCGTGAGTTCATTTACAAACTGAAAGGGATTCCTCCTCCCCATGGGAGAACTGAGGCCACTGTTGTTTGACAAAAACACTTAAGGTACCTTCCAATTCTATAGTTCAATTTTTAAAATTACTGTTCATTCTTGTCTTGCAACACCTACTATCTAACATATCAGTTTAATTGTGTACGGTAATCTGCAGCCTGTTAATAAAATTTTTTTCTTTACTAACACTTACCTCAGAAATTAGTAATTGGAAAGAACCATTAAGACTATCTAAAGGAATATGTCTTTCTAAAGACTCAGCCCATAGCTAGAGAAGTACGAAGGACTGTTTCTTTCCTATGAAGGGAATCGATTTTTGGGACCACCCTGGATTCTATTTTCTCCAAGAACATGAAATATTTTTGGAAATGAAAGACATTAATATTTGACAACATTTATGGCAATCCCTTATACTAAGCCATTAATTTGAGACCATTCTTTTTCCCCAAAGAATGCTTTTATTTAAGGAATACAAATTTCATAAGTACAACTTTAGGAATATAGTGATTCTTCCCACCATACTCACCCTCCCATCCACACTCCCACCCCTCCACCTCCTCCCTCTCCCATTCTCTATTAAGATTCATTTTCAATTAACTTTATACATGGAAGACCAACTCTATACTAAGATTTCAACAATTTGTGTGTTCACACACACACATGCACACACAGAACAAGTTTTACAGTTAACTCTCATAATACAACTCATTGAGGACAGAGGTCCTGCATGAGAAATTAGTGCATAGTGACTCCTGTTGTTAATTTAACAATTATTACTCTTACGTATGATGTCAGTGGCCAGCTGAGGCTCTTGACATGAGCTGCCAAGGCTATGGAAGCCTTTTGAATCCACAAACTCTGTCAGTATTTAGACAAGGCCAAAAGCAAAGTTGAAGTTCTCTCCTCCCTTCAGAGAAAAGTACATCTTTCTTTGATGGCCACTTCTTTCCACTGGGGTCTCATTCATAAAGGTCATTCATGTAGAATATTTTTTGCCACAGTGTCTTGGTTTTCCATGCCTGAAATGCTCTCATGGGCTTTTCAGCCAGATCAGGATGCCTTAAGGGCTGATTCTGAGGAAACCATTCTTTTCTATTGTAGGCATATAGTGCTATAAATTTCCTTTAAATACTGCTACAGCTATATCTTGATCATTTGAAAATGTTTTCATTTTAATCCAGCTCAAAACACTTTGTAAATGTCTAAAGGGAAATTAGAAACAAACTACTCTTTAGAGCACTTTCAGATTGGCAGCAAAATTGGGCTGAAGGTTTGGATTTCTCACATATCACCTGCTCCTATAGGTACACAGCTTCCTCCATTATCAACATCTCCCAGCAACACGCTACACTTGTTGTAACTGATTTCAGCTAACACTGATATATCATTCTCACCCAGAGTTCAGTCTACATTAGAGTTCACTCACAGAACCTGTTATCCATTCTGTGGGCTTGGACACATTTATAATGAAAGGTATACATCATTAAAGGCCATCAAGAGAAGTGTTGCTGCCCTAAAAATCCTGTTTTCCAACTATTCACCCCTCCATCTCCACTAACCTCTGGAAACCACTGACTTTTTACTGTCTTCATAGCTCTACCTTTTCTAAAATGTCACCTAGGTGAACTCATAGAATACGTAGCCTTTTCAGATTGCTTCTTCACTTACTAAAAAGCATCAAGTTTTCTCCCTGTTTTTTTCAAGGCTTGATAGATCATTTTTTCAAAAGTTATTTGAAAGCCAGAGTGGCAGAGACAGAGATAAAGACAACAGTATCTTACATAAACCTATTCACTCCCCAAATGCCAGCAACCACCAGGGTTATGCCAGCCTAAAGGCATGAGCCAGGAACTTCATTTGGGTATCCAATATGATTGGCAGGAACCCAAGTACTTGGGTCATCACAAACTGTCTCCCAGGGACATTAGCAGGATGCTGGATCAGAAGCCTGGAGTAGTTGAAACTTGAACCAGGCATTTTGATATGGGAGGTGGGCATCCCAAGAAGTGGCTTAATCTTCTGTGTCACAATGCCCACCAGTTTCTTTCTTCTCAATGCTATGATTTTGGCCCATGGGATATTTGGTAGATTTCACCAGTATAGGGGCTGGCACTTGGTATAGTACGTTAAGCCTCTGCCTGCTGTGCTGACATCCCATATGGATGCCAGTTTGAGTCCTGGCTGCTCCACTTCAGATCCAGCTCCCCACTAATGTGCCTGGAAAAGCAGTTGAGGATGGCCCAAGTGCTTGGGCTCTGCACCCACATGGGAAATGCAGAAGAAGCTCCTGGCTTTGGATAAGCTCAGCTCCAACCATTTTGGCCATTTGGGGAGTGAACACCACAACACCAGCTCCCCTGTTTAATTCTATAAATAAAATTTTATTGGAATACAGTCACCTTCATTCATTTACATATTTTCTATGTTTGCTTTTACACTACAATGGCAGAGCTGAGTAGTTACAACAGAGATCACACGGCCCACACAGTCTAAAATACTTTCCATCTGGCCCTTTACAGAAAAGTTTTATGAGTCCTCTTTAATGACTTACTTTTAAGATATGTTTTTAGGAAGGGCAGGAGCAGCCTATACTTTAGGATCAATTTTGCTTCACTACTGAGGCACTACTCTCCTGAGTATACCACCTACTGCCATTTAAATGACAATTCTTAATGGTAGGGAGACACAGTCTTCTCAGTTGGTGTAAGCTACTTGTGCTTTCCAGTGTCTCTCTTTTCAGCCTGGGGTAGTTTTTACATGCATGCAGTAATCAACACTCAACTGAAGACTCCAAGGGAGGACTGTCTAAAGATCTCTGAAGCTCACTGCCTGTGTAACTCTCTTCTTTGATACTCTGCCATTCAAATTCTAGCTGCCTCACACTCCCTGATCTCCTAACTATTTCATCTCAACTCAAATGACCACTGAAAAGTGTTGAGGTTCCCATTTCTTGCCTTGCAGCCTGGAGCAAATAACTTGTTTTCATTCTCTCAGGGCTCCCTGTCCTGTGCTACTTGTTGCCCAGTCTGATCACTTCTGTTTCACATAATATTACTCTCTTCCTCTCCTTTATTTTTGGCCATTTCAGGTAGAAGTATCCTTGGCATGAAATTCTAACCCCTTATATTTTCATTAGTGCAAATATTTACAACAAAGTTAGCCTAGCATGAGTCATTTACCCATCTCTATGATCAAAAGGCAATAACAGAAATGGGTATTAGGCAAAGTGGCAACCATAAACAATCCTTTACCCCCACCTCACTGTCTTAAATCTTTATGGGATTATATATTGGGTATGGAACCCCCAAATTGTAATAAATACTTTTTTAAAGTTTTTTCATTCAACTAGTATTTATTGACTGTTTTCCTAGCACTGTTCTAGATGTTGGAGATTCAACCAATGTGAACAACACACACACAAATCTTACTCTTGTGGAACTTACCTTGGAGTGAAAGAGACAGACAAGTAAAATAGTTACCAGGTAGTGACTGGAAAAATAAATCAGTCAATGGACACTAAGTACTAGGAGGGTGCCACAGGGGAAACAGTGGCCATTTAAAATAGGGAATGCCTTGGGTGAGAGGATGAAAATTTAGCAAAGACTGGAAGGGGATAAGAAAACCAGTCATTTGACTATTTGTGGGAATAGTGAATAAAAAAACATGATGTACAAACAATAAAACTGGTATGGCTAGAACTATGAGTGAAGGGGAGTGTTAAAACATCAGGCCAGAGGTAACAAGGTTCCTATCATGCAGGAGCTCACAAAGTTCTGTAATTAAGACCAGGAGGCACTGAAGACATCAGAGTAGTAAAGTAACCCTATCAGACTTACAGTTCTCAATAATTTATATAGCTGCTGTTTGGGGAATGAATGCTATGGGAGACACTAGAAAAGTATGCACAACAGTTAGAAGGCTGCTTCAATAAATAGATGATATTGATGTAGATATTGTCAGAATTCAAATCTGTGTGACATTACATTATATTATGAAGAATTTCATGTTCATTGCTAACATGAAAAGGAAAGCCATTTTCAAACAATAATTCTTAAATGTCTCTAAAATTAAGTTAGTGTCTTAATTTTTACCTAACAAAATGATGTATGTACACAGGTATACAAAAATAAAAAAAGATGCTAGAAAGGAATGTTTTAGGTTGCGGCAAATGTAGGAGTTGTGGCATAGTGTTAAGCCACCACTTGGGATACCCACATACCATATCAGTGTGCTCTGTTCAATCCCAGCTACTCTGGGAAGCAGCAGATGATGGCTCAAGTACTTGGGTCCTGCCAACCACCTGGGAGACCCAGATGAAGTTCTTGGCTTCTGGCTTTGGTCTGGCTCAGTCACAACTGTTGCTGGCATTTGGGGAGTGAACCAGTCAATGAAATAAATCTCCCCTCCCCTTCCAAATAAACAAATAAAAAAAAAGAAGAGAAGCATGGCCAACAGGATGGACATACGCAGCCTCAGCACTGCAGATGGCCCTTCTCCTCACTGATCACAGTGCTAGGAGTCACCACGGAGACAAGCGCACCAGCCTAAGAAGCAGAATTCAAACTTCCTCAAAGTGACAAATTACCTAGTAGTGGCAGAATAAATGAAACAGACTTTAAAAATAAGATGCAAATAATAAAGCTTTGCTCTACTTCTTGCCCCCAGGACTCTCATTTGATAAAAGACAAATGCTGGGAGAGGAAGAGAAGAAAAATTGAAATGTCACTTACAAAAGCCAATGACAATGTGCACGGATGAGGCAGGGACAATCTGAAAACAAAAAGAGTTATTCGTTAGTTTTACAGAATTGCTACAACAGTTTTAAATTATGATTTAAGTCATTACAGATTCATGAGCAGTTTTAACAGGGCATTTAGACAGTTTTTCCCAACAGTCACATTCTACAAAATTATACCACAATATCACAACCAGTGTATTCATAGTCACATAAACCACAAGTCTGTTGAGATTTCCCTAGTTTAATTGCACCTATGTGTATTTAGTTCTATACAATTTTAGCTCATGAGTAGGATCATATATCCAACCACTGTCAAGATATTGACCAGTTCCATTGCCACAAGAATCCCTCACGTGGCCTTTTATAAACACACCCAGCCTCATTTAGCACAACCTCTTCTGTCCCAAATGCCTTGCACATCTATTTTAACACTAAAACAACATCTATTTATAAAAAAAATTAGTATTTTACTCATTGTGCATAGGAGACTACTTCCCAGTTATAGGCAAAAAATAAAAAAATAAACAGTTTTCTTTTTTACGTTAAAAGTTTCAGTTTAAGGATAAATTATCTGAAGTTTCATCTCTATGCTCCTCTCGCAGCATGGACCACTCGCTTCCAAAAGCAAAGGTGAAAGATAAGATACCTAGAAATGTCTGAACTCATGGATGCCATATTTTCAGTATTTCTCCAACAAGAAAACTCAACACTTGGCATGGGACAATCTAAGTTTTTTTTTATATAGTAGCTCTCTTCAGCCTCATAACCCTGGGTTATATGCATGATTATTATTCCTCCTTGACCCGGGAGGAACCATAGGCACCAAGAAGTTTAACAAGCTGCCTAAGGTCACAAAATCTGTAACTGACAGATCCTTGCTCCTGGGACCAGGCTCTTGAACACCTGGACTACCCTGTCCTTCAAAGAAACCTTTGGGGAGATCAAGTTACTCTGTGTTACCATCATCGCTATGCCAAACAAATCACTTTAAACACAGGACTTGAATAAGGAAAATGCCCAAAACAATGATTTGTAAAATGGAAGCAATGCTTGAATGAGACACTAAATGATGAGAAATAGCCAGGAAACCAAAGATGGCACACACAGGAAAAACTTTATATCACACCAAATTTTTTGCCAGCCCTGAACAGCTCATCTTCAACATGGATTAGTGACTGTCAGGCAGCAATTTACACACAGCTATAATTACTCCTGAAAAACACATTCAATTGGGTCAAGATGATGGAAGAACTGAAAATTGTGGTCACAGATAAAAGCATCAAAATTAGGCTAAGGAAAGAATGAGATATCAAAACCCAAAGAGACATCAAAATCCAAAGATAATGTTTAGATATTATAACTTAGTAGATGTCTATTGTGACAACTTTCTGTAGGGTTATTAGCTTAATAATATAGCTTTATTACTGAGGATTAGTAGATATTTTCTCCTGTGAAACCACCAAACACACTTATGAATAGCTGCAGCAGTGTTGCCAATCATTCAACAGCATTGAACAGGTGCCTACTCAATAAGCCATTGATATGTTGCCCCAAATGCTCTAGGTAGGCTTCCTTTACAGTGCTAATTTTACAGACATCTCCTGGATGACCTAAGTTCAAGAGGCAGCCAGCAGAGGAGAATTCATTATTAGCATTGTTTGGTGTTCATATAACTGAGTTATACATAGGAACCATGGGAAGGGAGCTCCTAAGTTCTGCTTCCATGTGAAGCTCTGAACTTAAGCGTTCACAACCTCATGAACACTTAAATGTATCATAAACTTCAAATACTGTGTGCAATTTCTAGAAACTACTTTAGTTAATTTATTTTAAATCAACTTTATAATCTCTTCCAGTTCCTCAAAAGTTTCTTTTCCTTTAAGGTGGGAAAATGACGGATGGGGTGAAGGAGACCCTGTCCACTAAGCTCTGTCCCCATATGTATGATGTGCACTCACTCATTCTGTCCACTCAGACCAAACCTGTCCTGCTTCTAGAAGTCTCCATAATGCAACATTTCCTCTTGCTTTGATCATTGCATAATTTCACCACTCTCTTCCATGTGCCTTGCCTGCTTCCAACACTCACACATACACCTCTATGACGATACCTTCACTTCATGCTTCCCTGAGAAAAGAAAAGCTATTGGATAGGGCATCTCATCTTCCAACTCTGAGCTACAAACCTCCCAAAGCCAGCAGCAGCTGCCAATCTCCCTCCGGAATTTACCCTGCATCCTCCTCCTTGCTCCCTTCCTACCCACCAGTGATATGTGCAAGAAAATGAGCGGGCTTTGATGTTTCCCAACTTTTAGAAAACAAAACTTCCATTATCTTCTATTTCTCACCCTAAATGCCCCTCCTTTCTCAGAGGAACTTGGGACAAGAAAAAGAACCTTAGTACCCATTTCCTTACAGTCAAGTCACTTTCCAACCCAATCCCAGGCCCTTATCTCCCCCCTCTATCAAAGGATCCTTACCAAGGTTATAGCAATCATTACCCTCCTTTGAGAAATCAGGATTCTGAGGGTTAAGAGAGATTGCTAGGTTGAGACAGGAAAAACAAGCCTCCCATTGGAGAGAGGCAAGAGCCCAGGCCTGCCCCAAAGCACTCTTTCTCAGAACAGGAGACCAAGACTTCATCTTCTTCCCTTATGTCCTCCTCCCTACATTAAATACTTAAATGTATGACCAAAGTCCTTTTATTTGTATTTCTTCTGGAACTCCACCCTGTTAGGTAGGGGCATGAGACTATTTATCGGCTATTAATAAAGAGTCAATTACTGGTGCAAGACCATTTAACATTCTCTTTCCTACCATTGCAACCAAGAAAACTAGGTATTCCAGAAGTGTGTAAGTACAAGGTGGTGCATTGAAGGTGTGAGTCTCTTTATGGAGCAGAGTCTCTCACAAATGTACAATGACATTGAGTGTGAGCAAAATAAATTGTCTGAGTGATGCCTCTTGGTAGGAGGATGGCTTGTTAGCACAGCATGATGTAAGCTCATCCCTAGTATACAGAAATTGGTACTAGAAGCAGGAAGTTGCTTCAGCAAAATCCCAAGATATATGATATTGGTTTAGTGTCCAGAAAGCAGGGTGAAAACTCATCTTAGGAGTCAGAGATATGGTAGATTTCTCTGGGAGGTGGGTTTCCTACCTAAGGAACTTGTAGCATGTGGAGAAGAGATAAGAAAACAAAAACACTCAATAGGTGCACTGGTTATTATTGACTTTTTCTGGCAAGGTATTCTAAGAAAGCAACGAGCTCAGAAAAACACAATCCGGAACAGTACTCTATACTTTGTGTGTCTGTGTGGGTGCAGTCTGTTGAAACCTTTACTTAGTATACACTAAGTTGATCTTCTGTATATAAAGATAATTGAAAATGAATCTTGATGAAGAATGGGATGGGAGAGGGCATGGGAGATGGGATGGTTGCAGGTGGGAGGGAGGTTATGGGGGGAAAGCCGCTATAATTCAAAAGTTGTACTTTGGAAATTTATATTTATTAAATAAAAGTTTAAAAAAGAAGTGAAGGGGAATGCAGAGTTTCTGGACACTGCAGGTCTTGCAATGTTAGAGGAACTAACGTCTCAACCTCTGCTCTAACAGGTAAAGATAAGGCTTGGAAGATCATTAGCTCAGGAGAACTTGAATTGTCTCAGAGCATGGGCACCTAATACACCAATTAAATCATTTCATGTGGATATATTGAGGAAGGGAAAAGATCAGATTAAGGGTAACATTTTCTACTGAAAGCCAGATAGTCCCAAGAAAACTGGCAAGTGCAAAAACAGCCACAGGAGCCAGACAACAAATCAATGCAGTAGATTTGAGACTAGGTCTCTTAGCAAAAGAAAAAAATGAGAAGTGTTGCTTACTGGCACACAAAACTGACTGGAAACACATAAGAACCATCCACATTTTGGATACAACCATGCCAATGAGAACAAGCTTGTGTGTTGAAGCTCAAGATGAGTCATCAGTTATGATGACCTTATTAGTTGAAGTTAGAGGTAAATCAGTGAAAATGATCCTTTGGCCCCCAGACTTCTAAATTGTAGGAAGTGGGCAGAAAGAGTTTTTCAGTTTCCAAAGAAATTCTGTAATCTCCACTTCTTATGTGGCTAAAAGAGGTTCGGATGACAGAACCCAGCGTCTTTGAAAACAATGAGCAAGAAGGTAGAGTCAGCGCCCAATCAAGGAACATTTCATTCCCTGAGAGGATTCTGAAATCTGGTGAAAGATTTCAAAATTGCTAAGGACCAGTGATTCCCTAGAGTACACTAATAAAATTTGTGCTCTACAATATTACAAAGACTAAGTATGTATCTGTTATTTTAAGAATCTCAGAGACATGTCAAAAAATTTCTCTGTACAGTTAAAACCTCACAGTGAATGGCACAGCCATCCGATCCACATAATGTCCTCTGAGACTATGAACATCTTTTCCTAGCTGTTTATAAGCAATTTTCTAGATTGCATCTTCTCAGTGTGACAAGGTATTATCTTTGAAGCACATGACACTTACTTCACACATCACAGAAGTGCAGACAGATTGAACAAAAGCTCTACTTCATACAAGCTCTTAAAATCTCAAGCAGGAGCTAACCCACTGATATTACAAATATGGCTTTTTTTTTTATAAAATATATGGCAGAGAATCAGAGATAGTAGCATGAACCCAAAGCAGCTTATATTCAGTCCCAACATCTTACTGCTGCATGCATTCTAGGAAGCCCACTGTTGCACTCTAAATTATGTGGACTAGCTCCCAACATTCATGTTAAAGCCCCAACCCCCAGTGTGATTATATTGGGAGAATGGACCACAAGAGTGGCGATTAAGGCTAAATGAGGTCCAATAGGGCAGGTTTCTTATTTTATTAAGAAACACAGAAACTGTACTTTTTCACACTCATACAGAAAAAGAGCATGTGAGGACACAATGACAAGGTGGCCACTTGCCAGAAACAGTCTTCAGCACAAACTGATCATACTGACACCGTGATCTTGGACTTCTGGCCACTA